GGCATCCTTGTCTTGTTCCTGATCATAAAGCTTTCAGTCTTGCCATCAAATATCATTATCTGGGGGTTTTTCATGAATGTCTTTTGTCATGTTGAGGAAGTTGTAGTCTTAGTGTTCTGACAGGTTTTATCGTAAGAGGGTGTTGGATTTTGTCAAAGGTCTTTTCTGGCGTCAGTTGGGATGATTGTTTGACTTTTTTCCCCTTCATTCTGTTAACATGATGTATTACATTGACTAATTTTCTTATGTTGAACCACTCTTGTATTCCTAGGATAAATCCCACTTGGTTATAGTGGGAGGGCCCTGGGAGGGGCTTTCCTGATGAAGGAAATGGTGAGCTGAGACCTGGGAGGGGCAGGGAAGGTTGCAGCATGAAGGAAAGACTTGGGGGGAGAGGCGGGGAGGCCCATTCTGGAGAGGACCAGCCTGGTTGCAGAGCAGGATTCAATTGAAGCAATGAGGTAGGGGAGGAATAAAACCTTTAGAGGTGATGGATGTGTTCATGACCTCGAGTAGAGGGAAAGTTTCACAGAATATATACTTAGGTCAAAATTCATTTTAAATGTGTGCAGTTAATTATCCAATACACCTCAATGAAGTTGTAGAAACAAAAACACTAAAAAATAAATACATACATAAAAGAGTATGAGTTGGTTTGGTAACAAACTGTAGATGGTTTTGAATGCTTGAGTAAGGATGTGTAGTTAGTAAGGTGTCAGGCTTTTTCAAAGCACCTCCAACATCTCCATTGGGCCAGGAAGGAAAGTGGTAACCTCAGACATGCATCTCGGAGTGCTGGATAAAACTTTTCTCTGGCTTCACAGAACGTCTGGATTTCTGGGTAATTCCAAAAACAATTTGAGAACAACCGGTCTCCTCATCTTTGGTTGAAGCCTGTGGTCAAAGATAATATTTTGGTGTTCTGGACGGGAGTATCTTTGAGAGGTAGAAATAGAAATTGAGCAGGGCTCAAGACTGAGAGGGGTGTGGAGGTGTGTAATTTCTAAGTACAGTGAGAAAAGTCTTGTACTCTGGAAGCACCCCTGGGTCTGCAGAATGATGTATGCAAGAGGCTAGACCCTAGACCAGGGTTTCCAGACAAGACCAAAGCAAAGACCCCACACTGCCTGGCACAGTGACTGCAAATCCCACAGACTACACATATATGTCAAGTTTGCTCCCTGCCACCTCCCGGTCCCACAGCCACCCCTGAGCCACCAGCAGAGCACCAGAATCTTCAGCCTTCAGCTCTTTGAAACAGCGAGGGCTTCTCACTCTTTGGCCAGTAGGGTCTCTTGGCAGGTGACCTGGAATTGGACACATAGTGATGCTTCTGGGGGCTTGAATTGCCCAGGTTTCAGAGGTCATGTTGGAATGTGCACAAGCAGGGCAGAGAAAGCCATTCTGCAGAGACACACAGAAAGAAATGAAGAGTCCCCAAGCCTCCAGAACATGAGGCAGGCAGAGGCAGCCAGTGACAGATTCAGTTCTCCAGGTCTTTCTGAAACCCTGCTATTTTGGTTTCGGGAGATAGTTCAGAACACAGACTTTGATGTCAGATAAAGTTGATTTTTAATCTGGTTTCTTTTACTCACTATCTGGGACTCTGGGCAAGTTACCTGTCAGGTCCTATTTCCTTGTCTACAAAAAATGGAAATAGTAATGTCTAATTCTGAGGGAGATATTTTGAGAGTTAATTACAAGGAAGTTAATAGAGTGTTCATAGCACAACCTAGTGCATAATAGATGCTCATAAATGTTGGCTCCTTCCCTCCCCCTCAGAAAGGACCCGACTATGTGACTGAGAACTGAGAAGTGGGCACCTGGGTGGTTCAGTCAGTTAAGTGTCCGACTTCAGCTCAGGTCATGATCCCGAGGTTCCTGAGTTCGAGCCTCGCATCATCTGTGCTACCGGCACAGAACCCACTTCGGATCCTCTGTCTCCCTTTCTCTTCCCCAACTTGCTCTCTTTAAACAATTAAACAAATTTTAAAAAGAAAAAAAAGCAAGCTGAGAAATGCTTCTGTCTGCTCCTTCTGCTATTTCCCGTCCATTCAACAAGCATTGATTGAGCAGCCCTGGGCCAAACCCTGTCTGAGGGCCGAGTTTCCAAGAGTGAAAAAGACACCATCTCTAACCTCCAACAGTCCACAGCGTCATAAATGCCACAACGGATAAAAGCATGGAGGAATTACAGGAAAGAGGAAGGACGGCTGCCTGGAGTAAGTGATCTCTACCTTGCAGTGGGGAACTGAATCACCCCCTCAGTCAAAAATCAGATTTTTATAAATAAAAATCTATAAAAACAGATTTTTATCGCAACCCACACAATCTTAAACTCTTGCAAAATTCCCTTTTACTCCCTAACAGTGCCTAACATCTGGCATTTCCTAAGTATGTAAATTGTATTTAATAGTTACAAAGTGTCCTTCTCTCTTCCTGGTTTACTCTCCTCTTTTTATTTATTTTTATTTTTTTCAAGTAGGCTCCACACCCAATGTGGGGCTTGAACGCACAACTCTGAGATCAACAGTCACGTGCTCTACCCACTGAGCTAGTCATGTGCCCCTCTCCTCTTTTTAAAAATGACATTATCCAGGGGCACCTGGCTGGCTCTGTCAGTAGAACATGTGACTCTTGATCTCAGAGTTGTGCGTTCAAGCCCCACGTTGAGGGTAGAGGTCACTTTAAAAAATTAAATTAAAAAAATCTTTACGGGGTGCCTGGGTGGCTCAGTCCGTTGAGTGTCCAACTCTTGATTTAGGCTCAGGTCATGATCCCAGAGTTCTGGGATCAAGCCCACTTTGGACTGGGAATCATAAAGCCCCCTGCTTACGATTCTCTCTCTCTCCCTCTGCGCATTCCCCTGTGCTCTCTCTTCTAAAAGATAAATAAATAAAAAAGACAGTATCCTAAATCCTCTCTATCAGTGAGGCAGTGGTTTAAAATTGGGGTCCAGATACTGAGTCCTCAATAGTGATAGGGGCCTTTGTGCTGTTTTCATTGTTAACAAAGGCCCGATGTTAATCATGTTTAACCTTTCACCAGGCCTTCTGCAGTCCCTCACTGCTACTTCTTTGCTTTCAACTAAAATCCTAACTCACAATGAGGCAATGCCAGTAGGCTCAGGCTGGACAGAGGCTTGTATTGGCTGTTATATAGGAACTTGGATTCAAATTTTTAAAGGAAAACAAAGCAATTACTAATTAACGCAGTTTTGTGTGCACAAATCCTCCACAACTTTGAGGAAAAATAACTGAAAGGGTTCTTAGTGGTGAAAATGCTGGAATCCCCTGCGCTCAGAAATCTTGAGTTCAAAGGGCAAAGAACTCTCTCTTACTCATAAGCAGCAATTCTGTGGCTTCTTTACCATTGCAGGAGAAGATTTAGCTCAGGTAGTTGTTGGGCCAGGAGGAGGCAGGGGCGGGATGGGGATGCGGGGGTGTGTGAAGTGGGGGCACAGAACCCAAGAGGATTGGGTGTGCCAAAACTAAATAGCCTTTAACAAGAAAAGGCTGAAAAAAATGATCTCTGCCTGCCTTTGCTTTGTTCTTACTTCGCTCCTGAAACAGGAATTTTGAATCAATGTGTATTACTCATTTGCTATCTGACAGGCAATTTACATGCATTATTTTAATCAATGCCCATTTGACAAACTGGATCACACTGCTAGTGAATAACTGAACCAGGATCATGGGCGCAGAGAAATCTGGTGTATGAGGCTGTTTCAACACTATGCTGTATTGCTTATTCTGCTAGAACAGGACTTATTAACATTAGGACAAATACGCTTACCTTTTTTAGACTCTCCATTGCCTCTGGATGATGATATTATGGGTATATTTTTTTCTGCTATTTTTCTATAATTTCTAAATTTTTCCTAATTAGTACTATAACATCTCTGATAAGAAAACATTTTCTTCTTCTTTTTTTTTTTTTAACAGCCCTTCTATGGATGAATACATCAGTAGCTAATGTCTGCAGCCTGTCCTGATAAAGCCTTCCACTCAAGGTTGCTGGATATATGGACTGACTCTAAATTTGAGGACTGATCAGCAGAGAGATGGATTTTGAAACCTTGGGGAGTAGATTAGGTTCCCCCAGGTTAAGTTTGTGGAATAGAAAATTGGGTTGAAGATAGAACCTTGTAAGACAAATGGTGGAAGAGGAACAGGTGAGTGGGGAGAAATAGGAAAACCAGGGAAAACCTGCTGTGTAATATGTCACAGTAATATTGAGCTGTAGCATATTGGCCGGTATTTTGTCAGTAATTTTGATTTTCTAGTCTCAAGGAGTATCTTGAAAGTATAAGAACTCTAGTAAATGTTAGTTTTATACTTCTGGGATTTGGTGTTTTTTCTCCAGATAAAATTAATGGTCCTTGATCGAGCATCCAGAGTAAACTTCTGTCCTCCATTCTATAAATGCGTGAATTACTCTGGTCTTTGTTATTGGTGGTGTCCCTTTTCTGGAAACATGGGGACTAGAGGTTCGTTTCTGTCTTTCCCAGCTCTTAGCCACGTAAAAATTGATCCTAAGCAACTTCTCTCTAAGCCCCAACAGCTTCATTTGCAAAGTGGGAATCATTGCGCCTTTCATAAGTTGTTAAGAGAGGATGTAAAGTGCAAAAACTGCTTAACACAGTGCCACAAATATCTTGAGTGGTGAAAAAAATACTACCTTTGAGTTTTAAAAAGCTACCTTGGAGCCTGCTTTTTGATGCGTGCAGATGAGGATCTCTGTCCATCTCCTGAAACGGATAAGTTAAACACTCCGTTCCCGACTTCGGTCAGTTTGTGAGTCAGATAAAAATCCTAGTTCCACCGGGACTCCATGCCAGCAGCGGGCCAATTCCCGCTTTGGGCCCCTCCTCCTCCAGAGACTACAAGCCCCAGCATGCCGCTCTCTGGCCTCTGGCGGCTCCGCCCCTTCCGCATTGGCCCGCACGTGGGCGCCGCTCTAGACTCCTCCTACTCCCGAAACGCGGCGGCTGGCGCGGGATGGAGACTGGGTGCTGGTTGCTGGGGGGCGAGTTCGAGGACTCGGTGTTCGAAGAGAGGCGGGAGCGGCGGCCTGGACTGCCGGCGTCCTATCGCGCCAAGCGCTGCGAGCCGCAGGTGAGAAGGCGGGGCCTGCTGGCCTCTGTCCGGGCCGCCTGCCTCGGCCTCCGCGGGTGCCAGGCGGGGAGCTCCTGGCAGCAGTAACGCCCTCCGCCTCGCCGGGCCGCCCCTCCCGCTGCGCTGCCCCTGTCCTCACGAGACCGGTGCGTTTCCCGAGCCCCACCGGTGGGCTCGGTCCGGCGGCCCCGCGCTGGCAGCGATTAACTCGTACCGGGCGTTTAGCGGGTCTCTCCAAAGGCTCGCTGACCTCACGTCGCCCCCTGCCCTGAAATCTTCAGGAACTCCGTGTGCCCACACTGATTGTGCAGCCGGGACCCTCAGAATCCGGTTCCCGCCCACTTTCCAAAACTGAACTCTTGGCCGCTCTGCAAACGGCGACGTCCCGCCCACCGGCCTGCCCATGGTCAGTGAATTCCTCCAGCCCGCGTCAGCCTCGCTCGCAGGGTCAAATCGCTCAATTATAGCCATTTCTTAGAGTGCACCTTGAATGCTGCCTCTTCCAGGAAGTCTTTTCTGATTTCCTCCTTCCAAGGAAATACGTTTGCCTTTGACTACTTTCCCCCTCCATTCAGTTTGTGTTACATCCCTTGTCAGGAGCGTCAAGCTCTTGGAGTGCTAAATGATCTCAGCAGAGTGGGTGCTTGACTTTGTGTCCTCTACAGTGCCTGGCAGTTTTTGTTCATAATAGCAACTCCGTGAATGTTTTGACTTCGTAGAATATTACTTTGTGTTACTCAATGGGTGTAAATCTCACCTCACGTATAAGAACTACTGTACTATTTATCAAAAACTTAACCTGTTCCCGGCACTGTGCTAGGTTCCTTTATATGTATTGTCTTCATTTTTCTTTGAAACCGTTGTAGAGATCTCAGGCGCTCAGTAATTACGGAAATATGTTTGTTTTATTTCACTTTCCCTTTCTCCTTATCTGTACATTCTTTCAGCGTTACCTGTAGTAGTTGATCGCAGTGTAGACTGAAAACAGGAACGGGCTTGGGAAGTCATAGTGGTGCAGCATCAAAAGCTACATACGAATAGTTATGAGATAGGATCCTGAATTCCAGCCTGGGCTTTACCACTTGCCTTTCAAGGTGTCGGTTCCTTTGTCATTTGGGGAAAATGGCATTTGCTGGCTCCCAGGGCTGTTGTGGAGTGAAGAGGGCGAGAGACCGGCAGGTGTGATGTGCTGTATGCTTAGAAAAGTCAAAACCAGGGGCGCCTGGGTGGCTCAGTCGGTTGAGCGTCCTACTTCAGCTCAGGTCACGATCTCGCGGTCCGTGAGTTCCAGCCCCGCGTCAGGCTCTGGGCTGATGGCTCGGAGCCTGGAGCCTGCTTCCGATTCTGTGTCTCCCTCTCTCTCTGCCCCTCGCCCATTCATGCTCTGTCTCTCTCGGTCTCAAAAATAAATAAACGTAAAAAAAAAAAAATTAAAAGAAAAAAAAAAGAAAAGTCAAAACCAAAAATCGCTGGTCTTTAGGACTTGTTTGGTACGTGATACTGCTTGTGAAGCCAGAAAGGCCTTCCTCAAGTCTTGTTGGTTTCTTTGGGTGTAACACCAGGAATTTGGGTTAGAGGATTTGTTGTCCCTGCTCAGGTTCGGTGTGGGACGGAGGTGGGCCGCATCCAGCGCTTCACCTCTTAGGGCCACCCTTGTTCACAGATCTCCCCTCCTTCCTCTCACCGGAAAAGGGTGTTTGAAGCCATCCCTGTTGTGAATTGTTGCAGGCCTGCAGGTTACGGGGGAGCATAAAGACAGTCATTTGAAAGCCAGTTTTTGCGTGATCGTTTCCCAGTGGGATCATGAAAATTGGATGAAGGTTTGCAGTGAGGCAGTTGGGATTGGCGCTGTGACTGGAGAGCAGCAGAGCGCAGAGGAATTGTGGGTTCAGTACACGGACTGTTGTTGACTTACGCAGTCCTCCGGGGACAACAGAAAAACAGCAGTTGCCAGCTTTCTTCGCTGTGATGGGTGAGGCTAAGGAGAGAAACGATTTTACTGAGATAATAGGAGGGCAAGGATACCCCGGGCAACTCTTTTAGAAATGGAACCAAGCAATTTGGACGTGATGGTAGAACCATCACAAATGCAGTTGGCGTTTTAATAGCACTTACCTGGGGATAGACTACATTCAGACTCGGTGTGTTTTTCTGTGAGGAAAAGGGAGGTTGAGTTACTGCTTTGGAGCTGGAGAAACTGGCATACAGACTGCTTTTTGTTACACCTGTTTTCTCATCTTCATGTTCATGATTCACTAACCAAAAATTCCCAGTTCACTTTCCTTCTTGTCCATAAGGTTTAAATCAGTAGAAAAGGGAATAAAATATGCCAGATGGACATTTACTCAGACTTCCTTTCTACAGGTCTTTGGCATTTGATTGCATGGAAACCTACTTTCAGCCTTAATTTCTGTCTCTTTTGGTTAGATTCTACCTTCTGCTTTTACAACATTTTTATGATAAGCACTATAAAGATAATTCTTCTTCCCTATGTCCTTTCCATAAAGAGTTGTCAATACCTGTTCTCACCACTCTAAATATGTCTCTACAGAGAAACATGTCAGCCTAAAGAAGCATTCAAGGGACACGTGGATGGCTCAGTCAACTTAAGCGTCTGACTCTTGATTTTGACTCAGGCCATGATCTCATGGTTTGTGAGTTCAAGCCTGGCGTAGGGCTCTGTGCTGACAGTGTGGAGCCAGCTTGGGATTCTCTCTCTTTCTCTCTCTCTATTTCTTTCTCTCAAAATAAGTAAATAAACTTAAAAACAACAACAACAACATTTGAACTGTCCTAATTAAAATGTAGCTTCCCAGGCACCACAACCCCACTTTGAAATGCTATAGATAGAACCAAATAGGCCTGTGCTTCTTTTTCAGTTGAGAGGTTCCATGTGATGAGTACGTTTGTTACTTATGATAAGTTTAATAAAAACTGAGCCATCACTAAAATCGTCGTTCTCGTCATAGGTTTTCCTGTGAGTCTCATCCTAAAAAAGGATCGTTTTTTGAGGTCTAATCAATAATATATGGGAAATTACTTCTACTTGAGTATGAGGTGGAAAAGTATCACTTAATTCTCTGTAATGTGCTATTTTCACAATTTCTAGTGGTTTTATGAAGAAACGGGGAGCAGTGATGAAGTTGAAGCTCTAACTCTGAAGAAATTCAAAGGGGACCTCGCCTACAGACGGCAAGAGTATCAGGTAGAATTGAACATATCTAAGGTTGCACTGCCTGAAATAGGTTCTTGTTCTATCAGTTATAGCATATCAGTTATGAGTGTGTTGTTTGTGAGGATGAATTTAGTCTTTTGTGGTAAGGGTCTGTAATCTCAGAATCCCAAATTTCTGTCCTTTTCTACATGGCTCTCTGCCATTTGTTTTGTTTCCTGTAACTACAATATAGGGATCTTCTTGGGATCCTTGCAGGTCTGTTTCCCCAGGCTGTGTGTCTCCTCATTCTGTGGGACCCTCTAGCACAGATGCCTCATGGGGTCAGAGGAGCAAAGCACCCCAAAATGTGTAAGAAAAAGAAAGAACTAACAGTTAGGTCCCAGCTTGCTTTACATATAAAATCTCATTTCTTCTTCACAAGAGTCCCTTTGTTATTTTGCTGATGAGAAAAAGAAGGCTATATAGCAAGTTAGTGGCAGAACCAGGATTCAAACCCTGGTCTGCTTGGCCCCAGAATGCTTTCCTACCATACGGTGATATTTTCCATGGTAGTAGGGGTTATATTCTCCAGCCATCTCTTTTCTACTTCTTAGAAAATAGTACTGACAAATGCTCAAGCCCCCCTTAGTTCATTGTAGAGTCCATTATAATATTACCTTCTGCCAAGAAAAAAATCATCCCTATAACTAAATCCTTTTTTCTACTATAGTTTCACCTCTTTTTTTCATCCCTTCTTTTCATTTCCTTTATTTAACAAATAATATGCAGAAAGCACTGCAAGAGTACTCGAGTGTCTCTGAAAAACTGCCATCTACAAATTTTGCCATGAAAAGGGATGTCCAGGAAGGCCAGGCGCGGTGTCTGGTTCACCTGGGAAGGCACACAGAAGCCCTGGAGATCGCTGCAAACTTGGTAAGTGGTTTCATTGCTTATTTTCCATTTGTTGTCCGCGGATTGTTGAATAGTTTATTTTCTAAAAAACAAAACAAAAAACAACTTCTTGCTTGCAGCAAAATCTGTGGGTTTGGATAAGTAGATGAAAATTGTCAATGGTGTAAGAACTTTATTATGATGAACAAACAGTTCAGAGCTCTAGACAATCACTTTCTTGTAATATTTTTTCTTTCCTGTGTTAGGCTCAAAATTCTTCATTGCCTGAAAATCTCATTTGTAAAGGTTTTACTCTTGTTAGGAGTAAATATTCAGAGTAGAGGGATCATCAGTGACTTTTTCTTCAGTTTTTTTTTTAGATTTTATTTCTCAAAATTTTTACAATGAACATGGATTACTTTTGTAAACAGGAAAAAAAAGTTACCAAAAAACCCCCAAAAAACCCTAAATATAAACTGAGCCAAGCTTAACATCCTTTTTTATTTTTATTTTTTCCAGCCTTTTAGAATCCCTTTTTAAGGGATAAAGAAAAGCAGTTATTTGCAGTTCTAGATTCTGCTTGTTTTTGTTTTCAGGTGATGGCATTTTTGGTTTACTTCTGTTTTGTGTGGGTGTGTAAATTTTATATGGGATTGGTCTAAGTTGACCAATCTTAAGTTTATAGATGGCCAGTTTACCTCCTCAGAGGGAATTAATGAGGCACTAGGGCACTGATCCTGAACCCTGTGGATCAAGCCAAACAGAGGTCAGCCTAAAGTATGCACGCAATTGAGCTCGTCTCTTCCATGTCATTAACTAAGAGAAGTCCCTAAATTTGCTTGCCGATGGGGTTCATTGCCTAGTACTTCAGCCTCTTGCGGTGAGAGGAAACCTTGAAAATTGTGTGTAGAATGTGGAAAACAGCTGTGTCTTGCTCTTCTCCTAAGTGTGGGTTAATTCTGAAGCTGGAAGGTAAAATTACCTCGTTGAGGAAGTAGACGGCACAGTGAACTTGGTGGAATTTAACAGTGTTCATTCTCGGTCTCCCGGGTCTACAAATTAACAACAGCTTTGGCCCTTTTAGTACTTTTTCTAGACATCAGTCACCCGTCCTTCATTCCTGTTCCTTACTCTCCTGTCACCTCTCTCTTCCTGACATCTGCACATCTCTGTTGTGCTCGTTGTCCCCGCCTAACCCACTGAAGGCAGTGGCGGTGGCTTTAGCGTCTGGGTTATTTTTGTGGTTCCCTCCAGCTTAGTTAGTCTGTTTCTGTGGCTCAGAGAAAGATCTGTTGCCAGTCAGCAGATGCAAGGTCTCCGGAGCTTGGGATGCTACCAGGCAGGGGGAGGGACCAGGCAGAAGACCTTCAGCTCCCCTGCCAGGACTTTGGGAACTATTCATCAGGCTTCTGGGCATCCTGTTGGGGAAGGAACCAGCAGTGCAGGCCGGGGGACTTACCCTTCCTTTGGGTCTCTTCACAGGATCTCAGTGGACCCTACCGATTTATATAGTTTCTCATTTCCTCGTACCTTGTATTTCATTTTTTAAATTTCTTCCCTATTTATAGACCCTTCTCTTTTGCTATTAACTCTGGTCTATTTCTGTTTGTGTCTTGGTGGCTGTTGTCCTTTCCTGTTCTGTAGGGGGACAGGCCAGAATACAGCATTGAACAAAGTAGACAGCTAGTTTTGGAGTGCCCATCAGGATATGAACATTTTATGCTCACAACTTTTTTTTTTAATGTTTATTTATTTTTGAGAGAGAGAGAGAGAAAGAGAGAGAGAATGTCAGAGCGCAAGCTGGGGAGGGGCAGAGAGAAAGGGAGACACAGAGTCTGAAGTCAGGCTCCAGGCTCTGAGCTGTCAACACAGAGCCCGACACAGGGCTCGAACTCACAAACCATGAGATCATGACCTGAGCCGAAGTTGGATGCTTAAGCAACTGAGCCACCCAGGCGCCCTTCATGCTCACAACTTCTAATTCACTTCTCTTCTTAATGATT